GGCTTGTGCATTACCAAGAAATCCCAGGCTAGACAAAGAACTTATGCTTGCCAGTTTTCATTTGATTTCACCAAATTACATCACAATGGTGTCTGTAATACAGCTAATGCAATGTGGTATAGGGTCTGTCTGCACAACATGGATACACCTGAAGCAGTTTTAAATAGCAGCAGACTACTTGCAGAACCATAGATTTCAGCATGAATTGATTTGACCAGACTCTGCAAGTAGTTTTGCTTCTCAGCTCTCTGCTGCAGGTATCCAGATTTTCCACTAGCACCTGTGTTTCACCTGGATATCACAGAATCAGCAAGATTGGAACAGATCTTCAAGATCATCTAGTCCAACCATCAATGTAGCACCACCACAGTCACCCCTAAACAAACTGGATGTGTGTCTATTAGCCTCAGCAGAGATGGAAAAGCACATGCAGATCAAGGATTTTTTGATGATTATACTCAAAGGAGTCCTGCTTGAGGGAAGTGTTTTCTATTTTACATCACAGGATGCTCACTCTTTATCAGCTTCTGGTACATCCAGACAGAGGTGAGGGAGCTTGTACAATTAGCCACCAGATCTGAAAGTGCAGTAGCAAAGAGATAAAAACCTGCGTATTTTCCCTCTTCTGTGTCTGCTGCCACAGAGAGCTTGTCTGAGGTTTATGCAGGTCTGGATCAGCAGATCAATACTTCAAAGACTTAAGAAAGAAAAGTCAGTCCCAGAGCTGTGTAGCCATCCAAATGACTTGCAGCCTCTTTATGGCTTCCAAAACACTAGTTTTTCATCCCTGATCAGTTCCAAGCTATGATTTTTTTAGGGAAGAAAATATCTTCCCAGCTCCTCTAAAGACTCTCTGCTTTACTGTGATCTATATACCTGCCAATACCAACAACAAAATTAGTCATCTTTTTAATACTGCTTAACTCTATATATTTATGTATATAAATACTGGGGTTTGAAGGTTTGATTTGAGACCAGAAATAGAATTCCCTCTTCTTTTCCCACGCCTGTGTTTCTGAATGTTTATTATGCTTGTCTACATCTTGAGAGGAAACACAAGCTATCTATCTTTAATAACATGCACATACTCCAGGTATAAGAAAAAATAGTTGTGAATAGTTAATCTTTTTCAACAGAAGAGATCTAACAAGGAGATGGGAACTTCTTTTTCCTATTACTACTTCTTATACATGGCTTTGATTATAAGCATAAAAATGCCATTTCAGCCAAGCCTTGTCCCAATACAGAAAGAAAAACATGATTTCTAATCTGCACTGAGCCAAAAGCAAAATCCTGACATACAGGCAAAATTTGCAGTTGTGTTCCCCATCATCTGGTGAGTGTGAATGTTCCATGGGTGGAACACATGGGACTATGAGGCGCAGTGGGACATGCAAGGATATATTATCAATATTGGTTGCTACCTCCCCTTTCCAGCAAAAGAAACTGTTGAGATCTGAAGAGCTGCACCTTCATGCTTTTGCTTAATGCTGTGTGTACTTCAATCCCATTGTCACTGTGCTATTTGCTGCAATTTGGAGATGAACAACTTGCTCAGAATGACAGCTGGAAAGCCCATCTTGGCACAAGTTCTTCTTCCCCTTCAGTGCAGTAAGATGACTGTTCAAGTACGAACAGACTCAACCTTTTGGCACCTGTCAATAACATTCAAGTCACTTAATACAGCAATTTTCAATGCATTTTCTGCTGAGTTGGAAGCAGTTCCAGCACAGGACATTGTAAGTCACCTTAGTACAGACACTTTCTAGGCATATGTTTTGCTTGAGCACTGCACTGCTTCTGTGTGTTCATTACTGAAGCACTACACACAGCAATACTGAAAAGTGGGCCAGGGAGCTGCACTTAAAAGAAGGCTCACAAGTCATACCCTTCCTTCAGAGTAAGATCTCCCCCAGATCAGCCAACACATCTCACTCCCAAATCTTTTCACCCTCTAACACTTCCTCTGTTCTTTATCAGACTTCTCTGTCCTCATGTCCTGTAAAACCCCCTAATATCCACACTCTAGCTCTCAGGTTTTCATGATTGCATCCACAGGTAACTGGCAGATTACCTGTGTCCTGCAGACTTTGAAATCTCTCTCCTGCAATGTCTCTTTCATCTGACACTTGGGACATGCAATGTTGCATAGACTTGTGCCAGAATTATAAGGTTCTTATTACCCTCCATTAAAGCTCATACCTAGAGGACGAATTATGGAAAAACTTGCATAAAAGGGCAGATAAATCAGGTAAACAGACTCCATAAAGGAAGAAGATGTTGAGGGGAGACACATCTATATCTTAGGCCAGTGGACACTCACTGACTGACCACATTCACATTTCCACTCTGGAAATCACAAGAGCAAAATAGACTGCAAGACCACATAAATCATTAAGCAAAAGAAATTTTCAGTTCTGTATTTAAATGTCAGCCTTTTTCCTAATGTAGCAACAAGGCTTCATACATACAGATTGCAAGTTAGAGACGCAGATGATGTTAGGTACCTCTGTCTTATGGCAAAATAAGTGAGAGAGCTCGATCATATTCCTAAATGAGTAAAGGCAGAGCGTGTCCTACAGCACCACCTAGCAGGCTAATTTAGAAGCAGTCCATATCCCTGGATCCATGACTATGAGGATGTGGATGTGCATCAAAATCAGGGTACACTTCGGTCTTGTTTCACCTTCCTTGGTGTAAGAGCTGCTTCTTGAAACCAGAACCATGCCATCGTGGTGATTAGTAAAGCTGGGGTGTCTGTTTTTCCCAGTCGTATTAATTATAAATCTCTTAAGAAAAACCATAGTAAGAATGCAATGCCAGATTTTTGAGATTTAGTGTAAGAAGTCCTTGTTTTCTAGATCTCTCCACCTGGTGCAGAAGCACCTCACAAAGTCAGATTTCACAAAGCTACCCAACCTTCTCTCCATATTCACCAGTAGGATAAGTAAGTCTTCGTGTGATGAGGGATTTTTAAAAGCCTGAGAGTCTCTGTGTGTTTCAGTTAGTGGCAGTCTGTTGTCTGTCATCACCTACATACACATTTTCTTTGTGCATCTGCATGAGGTGTGAATAACAGTGCCAACTTACAAACTGTAAGTTTTGGCAGATGATGAAGCTCCATGCTGAGGCTGCAGAATGAAGACTGTAACAGCTCTCTGCTGATATAAAGAGGGAGGTAAAGTGGGTTGGGTTTTTGTTTGGGGTTTTTTTGTTTTTGTTTTTGTTTTTTTTTTTTTGGGGGTTTTTTTTGTTTTTTTTTTTGTTTTTTTTTTTGGGGTTTTTTTTGGTTTTTTTTTTTTTGGGGGTTTTTTTTGTTTTTTTTTTTGTTTTTTTTTTTGGGGTTTTTTTTGGTTTTTTTTTTTTTTTGGTTTTGTTTTTCTTTTCTGGCTGCCTCATACCTTGTTAGAGCCTTTGCACTTCTAATTTTTCCAATGCTCCCATTCTGCTTAATAACCTAGCAGAAAATGGTGTCCTTTTGTCTGTTACTGTGTTTTCTCTAATATTGAGATAAACGTGGTGCATAAGAGGGTCTGATGGGTGACAGAGCTGGCAAAAAGTGGCTCAGAGGGGGACAGGTGAAAAAGGTGGGATCTTTTCTCTGACTTCTCCCTTTGGGTGGCAGCAAACTATTCATCTGCCTTGCTGTACTTCATAAAACCATAACCTAACGGTAGAACTGTGCCCCGTCATGAAGGAGTGTGTTTTCTTAGCAACCTGTTTATTGCAAGTTAAAACCAAGGTTGTAATCACCAGCTTCTGTTCACAACAGGCTATGCCTAGCCAGGCCTGTTCAGTAAAAGCATTTCTAAAAACTAGATCATCTGGTGGGAAAAACATAGGATAAATTTCTTCATTAGGATACTTTCATGAAAATCCTAAAAAAACCCATAAATTTGAATGAGAACTCCTAACTAGTCAGTTTACGACCTTAATCCTTTCACGTGAACTCCAGCGTCATGCTAAAATGTCTGGGAACTAAACCTTTACTGGTAAGAAATGCTTCCATCAGGGGCTGCTGCAAAGAAAGCAAGATCTGTCAACATTAATCACAAGTAGAAAGTAACAACAGGCTTGCTTTTATTTCCATTCTGTTGCTTCTTACCCAGCATAATTTCTATTTGGTTAGTGAAAAAGTATTACCTTATGACTGCCTGGTGTGAAGGGACACTTTAAAACAATCATCCAGCATTCGTGCAGACTTCTATAAATGAGACAAACCCAACCTTTTACTACCCCTACCCAAATGAAACACTAATCTGGCAAAAGCTATTCTGTATTCTAGCTTTGCAAGGACTGCACATCCCGGGGGAAGGCTGGACTTCCCAGAGCTCTGCCCTCGGATACCAGTACTTCCAAAGGGCGCTGCTCTGCCGCCCATCTCCTCTGCATTTCACGTCTTTGCAGGGCCTTCGGAGTGCCCAGGCTGTAGATCAAATCCACACGGGCTTACTGAGAAACCACACTGGCCATCTGCTTTGAGCAAACAATAACTGTAAAGGAAATTTTAAAAATCCCTGCATATGTTATTTTCCCATTAGGAATGACAGATAAATCCTACACGACGGATGCCAGCTCTGCCACTTGCTGCCTTAGCGGCAAGCATTCCTGCCCTGCAGTGGCGAGAGCTGAATTAATAATACAGACATGTAAAGTATGTTGCAGGAAGAACGCTGGGAGTTAGAGCACAGAACGAAGTCACGACGCGGGCAGAGAGCGGCAGTCCCCGCCTCATGCGGCGGCTGCCCTTTGAGGGGTAGTGGGGGGGGTGTCCCTTGCTCTTCGCCTGCAGGAGCAGCGGGTCGGATCTTCCCCTCGGTCTGTTCGCCCGAGGTCAGGCTCAGCGGATCAGATCCTCCCCTCAGTCCGTTCGCCCGAGGCCAGCCCGTAATTGTGTCACCACAGCCACACTCGGCCGCCCTGAGGGAACCGAGCCCCGCCCGCCATGGCGCCTCCGCCCGCCCCCGCGCCGCCCCTTCCGCCCGCAGCCCCGCCTCGGCCCGGGACTCGCGGTAGGTGCTGGGCGGCCGCGGAGTGGGGGCCGGGCGGTTCCCGCAGCGGGGCCCCGGGGTTGTGGATTTCTGCCACCCTCCTCTTCTATGCTTTTAATTTTCGTGACAGCCGGAGCCCTGGAGGCGGGTCTGGCCCGCGCCCCGTTTCCTGATTGATCGTGCTTTAAGCTGGGCTTTCCCCTCGACTACTTTCGATTTTTAAAGCAATAAATGCAGTAACACACACGTGTTATGACGAAACCTGCCCAGATGTCCCCCATCTGAACTTTAGTTGTTACAGATCTCTGAGTTCAGTGACAATTAAGTGCCTGTGACACCACAGAGATAGAAAGTATTTCAGCGTGTGGGGGAGGCCGCCGTGTCAGCGTGGTGGAGGCTTCATGGTTACCAAACGATTAAATTTGCAGGATATGGGCCATATAAATTGCCTTGCAGTTTCCGGTGGCTTTCCTCATCCGTAAATTGCAGAAAGTTTATGAATAAAAACAAAGATGCCATGCGCGGTTCGGGTTGCAGTGGGATATCTGCAGGAGCTGAGCATCTGCACTGACCCCTGGGGAAGGTTTGAAAGCATAAATGCTAAAATGTATTGGGGACAGTCTTCCTTTTATTTTCCTGAGTATCGAATATTATGAGAAAACAAATTATCTGCGACGTTTCCTGCTTAGTTTTGCATTCGATGTGCACAATCACATTTGGTCATGCAAAGGAGGAGTTTTCATTACGTAATGCAAGAAAGGAGAGTGGAGTTTTCAGCGTGGTCTGTCCTTCCCCACACGGGTGTGGATGTAAGCTGAAGAGAGACTTCTTTCTTTGCAGCATTTCTAATCTTAAAACTATGTTAGCCAGCTCCAGTGAGAGGGCATTCTCTGATAGGAGAAACCTGTGAAGTCCATGCCTCAGCTTCACATGAGGATCAAGTGATAGGCTCCCTACAATCGTCCCGTTGAAAGTGCTTCCCCCTGCACTGTGAATGACATGACCTTTTCGATCAGATCTAGAGTACCAGATTTGCCAAGAGGTCATAAACTTCAAAATGGTCGTTTGATTTTAAGTATTACCATTTCCTGGTTTTATTTTTGTTATCAAGGAGATTTTCTCCTGAAATTTTGTTTCATCCAAGGCCTTAGCTCTTTAATGTGTTTTTCTTAAATAACATTGTCAAAAAAACTCTCCAGCTGTCTTCAGCAGAATATAAGAATGCCACTAGTTATTACACTAAGAAATACATATTAAATTACTGTATGATTACATAGATCATTGTTTTTATTAAGCACTCAGTGTGTGTTCAGTGCAGCATAAATATCAAACAAGATTATTCTTCTCCTGGTGAGTTTACAGTCTGAAAGGTCTTCATAGGAAGGAGTAGTAATAACATATTATTAAAAGACCACCTTTAAATTAATCCCTTTTTGTTTCCCTGTGGTTAACACTCATTTGCTGTTGATCATGACTGGTGTATCCTGGCATGTCCTGTAGTGCTGTTTGATGATGTTACAGACCCCAGTTGTCCACTCTACCCCTCTGTGAGACGTTCTTGTTCAGCACATGTGGAAGGAGAGCATATGTCCCTGCTTCAGCTGCTGCCATGCAGAGCCCAGCAGCATAACTGAGACCCACCTTTGATGGTACTCCACGCTAAGACTTTTTGGTTGTTGTATCAAAGCTCAATTCCCTTCTGCCACCTCAGCTTCCTGTGAGGACAGCTGGAAACTCTCATGTCTTTAACAGCTGCAGCAAGATTCTATGAAGATTGTGTGTTAAAGCCCTGAGAGAAGAGACTGCAAATGGAAAGAGTGGCGTCCAGTTTCCTCTGATTTCTGCTGGATTTAGGTGCCTAAATTCACTTGTATACCTTCATAGTACCATCATTCTAGGCAGGAATTCTGTAGCCAATAGAATTTTTTAAAAGAATTTGGAGCTTTCCTGGGCAGAGCATGTCATATGGCTTGGATCATAAAAAGAACTGATGCTTCCCAAGGGAAGCATGAATCTTGAACTGAATGAGTTGGCAGGTTTGAAAGTTTTTAAGTTTATTTGCTTATTTAAAGAGTCATTGCATAGTTGTAAGCCCTGAAACAATTTATGTTCCAGTTTCTGCTCTAGATTGAACATAGTATTTGTCAGAGAAATTATTTCAGAGTCAAATTTTTAAAAGTACCTACTGAAACCATGCTGTTTTCTGAAAATAGCTTTTTATTGAGTAAGCGAAAGCCACTGCCTGGAAGTTGAAATCTGAAAGAAAAGGAAAAAAATATAGGAAAAACACATAACTGTTTCTTGTTGGTTTTCAGTTGGTTGGTTTTTTGTTGTTTGGGGTATTTTTTTTTTTTTTAATACTGAGCTTGACTATCCATCAGAACAAACTCCTACAGGAAAATTCTGTCTCCTGAAATTTTTCAAATCAAAATGTGATCCTGTTTTGAAAGTTGTAGTCCAACTCAGCTTATTGAATTTAGTATTCAGGTTGCTGATTAAAATTTTTGCAGCTGTACTGTAGAGGAGATTGGCATAGACTGATCTAATTATTGGCTCTTTCTGACCTCAATACCTATAGACTGTATAGTGGAAGGCAGGGGTGGGATTGTGCTAGCAAGGACTAGACAAGTATGTTGGGTAAATACAGGGTGTGTATTGATTGCTGGGGGAGGAGGAAGTGTGCTGGCTTTAGTATTGTCTTTATTGCGGTGAATTGATTTACTGGAGGAAGGGGAGAAGTTAATTCTTCATATCAATCATCCTGGGTTGCAAGGCCCAAAAATTATTGCATACCTCTTCCTCTGTAAAGATGTTTTGTGTTTTATGAATGTAAAAAATGGTTTCTTTGGTTATTATGCTCTGCTTCTTCTCATGTTTTCTGCTTTAGTTGTTTGGGGTTTTTTAGTGCTGGAGAGATGGCAAACCTGTCTATGCACGCTTTAATTCCTGATTTTGTGTTACGAACAGGTTAGGATTTGACTATGGCAGTGCGGTTCCTGCGGAAGGCATCTGTGTGGTTAAAGAAGCACAAGATCACTGTGTTGGCTGTTTCTTGCATGGGACTGCTGGGCACTAACCTTTCCTATCATGTGTTTCCTGAGCAAACATTCAAACTTTTGCACGAGTGCTGGTCAGAGGGGCAGCCAGCTGAGCTTTCAGAGAAGCTCTGTGGTGTGTTTCAGGATGTCCTTCAAGATACTGGTGTAAAGTCCACTGGCTCCTACAGAGCCTTTGCCGCTTCTGGCTTCCACCCTGTGAGCGCTGGAATTCCCTGGCTGCCCGAAGGCTGTTTGGTGGGCATCCCGCCTAACTTTGATAGCACAGCTGAGGATAAAAAAGGAATAGTCAATCATGTTGTTGTAATAAATGGCAAGGAAGTAGACTGGGAGAGCAGTGAAGGCGTGGCTTTGAAGGAAGCTCTCACATTTTCCCTTAAAGCTCAGAAGTTTGCCATTGCCAGAGAAATTGTGTACTTGCGGAACGGCAGCCCTTTAGCAAGTGCAGTTGTGGCTCCGACTTGCTTGGCTGGGACCTTTGTCTGTGGGAGAGCTCTAAAGCTGCTTCTGGGGCTATCCACCGGCCCTGTGATCCTCCGCGGCCTCTGTAACCTTGTCACTGCCATGGGAGGACTGCTCTGCTACTATGTCTCTTCTGATGCCATCACCTATCACCTGGACTGCAGGGCTGACTCGAAGGCAGCCAGGCTTTCCAAGGACTATGCCAGCGGTGGCCTTGAATTTTATGATAAAATCTTGTCCCGCAACAGGATTGTTCGTGGTCTGATGGGCAAACAAGGGATGAAAATGTACGCCCCGAGTGGTAACCTTTTCCCAAGGCACTGGTTCAGAATAAAGTATACCCCGTACACTTACCGGAGAACTTTGATTCTTAATATTTTAAGAGAGCTCCAGGCATCTGATGGGAGTGCTTGAATTTTAAACTTGTGAATTATGTATTTTGGAACACCGCTGTGCTGCTTTTTTCCTTTTTTTTTCCTTCTGTATCTTCAATAGAATTTTGGGGTTTATTTTTGCATATAGTTCGGGAAGAGTTATTGTACATTTCTTGAATAAAGAATTCTCTCTTAAAATATTAAAGACTTGTTTCCAAAGTGCTCAGTTCTGTGTGCATCTCAAATCACAAGACTGCTGAGAAGGGAAACTTTTCAGACACTGATCTGAAAGTTCTGCTGTGCTACTTTGCCTTCCTGCCATTTCAGTCTGGCAAATTGGGAGGGGCAAGTCCAGTGGAGAGTTTTGGGATCATTATAATTTAAACTGGGGTGTTTGCTGTTTCTCCTATGGAACAACATGGATATTTTAAAAAACGGGCAGTCTGTATTGTGTGGTTACATAAGTATCAAGACAGAGTGTTTCTGTTCTGTGTACGTTCTTGTGCTGTGTATATTCTTATGCTGCAATCACCATTCTTCAGTAGGAGACATTAGTTATGCTGCAGTTGCTATCAGTACAGACAGATTATTGCCAGCTCCTGCATCTTTTGCTTAAATCTAGTTCTGCTTTCTCTAGTACATGGTGACTGCAGCACCACTGTGAATGTTCTCCAGGAGTGGTAGTATGTAAGAGAACTGTCCTGGGTTGGTTGTTTTCTCACAAGTGGGATAAGCATGTTGAGAAAAGGTTTTTCTGCTTGCTTTGGTGTAGTTTTTTTGTTTCATTTAAAAATACGTGCAGATGTATGTCACCTGTTATGTCAGTGAAGGCAAGGTATGAGACATAAGTCTGGCACTTGGTGCAGAAACTGGTGAGGTCTTTGATGCAGAGTTGCCGAAGGAGATTATTCTCCTGTAGCCAACTGGCTCACGAAGATTTTTTTCTGGCAGGCCAAGCTTTGCCCAGGATTACTAATCTTCTGGAGAAGTCTTTAGTGCATGGGCAGTAAGCTTTCCACTATAGCCTCACCTGGATTTTCAAGGTGAAGGTTTTCAAGGTTGTGGTTCCTTCTTTCCTATGTTTCTTTCTATTGCTGTTCCAGTAGCTCTGCCTGGTGATGTCAGAGTAGTTCTCATCTCTGTCATCATTCTCACCAGTAACTTCTATTATTTTGTGTCCTCTCAGAGATGTGCTGAGTGTCCTCTCTGTCCTGGTTTTCTTCATCTGCTTCAATAAGAACTGTCACACCTGTGTTTGCTCAAAGCATTACTGAGTTCTGTTTCCCTTTTGAATCACATGGTGACATAAAGTTGATATTCTGGCTGCTGAAGCACTGCTGTTGCTTTCCATTGCTGAAGCTATGCATGTGAGGTGTTTGAGTTTCTGCTGAAGTAATCTATGCCATGTGCTTCTGAAACATCACCTATTAATTGCACTTGTCCTGATCAGGTCATGAGATGCCTCTCTGGTGTTTTTCTGACTGTAAGGCATAAAGCTGTTGTTTTTGTGTCCTTTGTGAGAGTCTGGTAAAATTTCCTGGTCTGTGGAATAAGAGACTTTACTTTTAGGCAGGGGTCTTTAAAAACTTTGAGTTTTTTGGTTTTTTTTACTTGTCTTCCAGATAAATCCAATATAAGACATCACAGAAATGTATTGGTGGAGTGACATAGTGACTCAAGACTGGAATATAATTCCTGATTTATATAGTCTGTGAGTTTATGTCATCCTACTGTTACTCCTTCAGACAAGTCTAAACTCCGTGAAATATTCTCAGAGAGAACTTGGGCCCATTTAGTTTATGTGGTTGAAGGAGCTGCTGCTACATAAAGAGTGCAGAGAGGAAATTAAGGCCTTCTTGGAGATTTACTACAACAAGTAACAGTTTAAATAATAGTGTCATAGTGTCAATACAAGGAAAACACAAACTGCAGTCACAACTGCTTAGTAAGATTTCCCTGAACTTTGGGAATGTGCAGGTTGTCCTAGAAAAGATTTTTGTGTGTGTCTGTTGCCAGGTAATTGCTGTTTGCAAGATCACCCATGCTGTTTGGCAAGTAAGAGTAGCACAACCCAAATACATGGCCATGACAGTAGTCATGAAAAGTATTTTATTATACTGCAGTTGTTTTTCTGTAGGTAGAACTATCATTGAAATCAAACATGAACTCGACATACTGGTGATAAAAATGGTCTGGTTTTGAGAGTTCACTCGAAGCAAGCAGCCCAGAATTAAAGGTGGAGATGTTCCATACTAAGAATGGTCTGATGTGGAAAAGCAAGTTCATTCTGTGGCCCAGAAAAGGCCAAACAAATCAGTTTGTAAATCGTGTCAGTGAATAGCCTCCCCCAGCTCTGAAGCTGAAAATCTGAGGAATTTGAAGAACTTGTTTGAGTATTAACTGGTTTGTCTTTTGCTGTTCAGACAAGGCACACTTTGTACAAATTTTTGTGTAGAAAAGCAACAAAAAATGTTAAGCTAAAAGGAATTGCTAGGAGATGTAGATAAAAGAAGTCTAAGTCTAGAAACCGTAAAAGCAGAGATGTCAGTGGAAAAATGAGCTCTCATAAAAATGGATACTATTTACAGATATGAAGCTCTCTGTTGGGTAAAGTGATTAAAGGATGAAGAAGTATGAGTAGCAAATGACCAAAATGAGTTGCTAGTTTAAATTTAGATAAAATCTAGTTTAAAGAGGGATTTGCTTGACTGGTTTATTTGTGTTATTATCCTGAATGTTCTGTGTAACTGGAAAGAAAATGATCCTTGTAATTCTTTTTTATATAAATGCAATTCTTGCTGGTATATAAAGCTTTAGTGGGTGATGCTGCAAGAGATGAGGGTCACCAAGGTGCTTTGCTCAGAATTCCCACTGAAGGGTAAGAAATGTACTCCAGGGCCTGACTCACATATTTCTTTATCCTAAAATTTGCAGTTTCTTGTTGTGGAGGTACCTTCAGCTTGTTTAATGGTCAAAAACATAAAGTTGTCAGAAAAGAGCAATATTGAGAGCTAGACAGTTTTCTTGAAGAGAAACAAGCTGTGGAAGTCATCTGATTATAGCAGTTCCTGAATCAGCTGCTGTGGGTGTCTGGCTTCTCCATCAGTTTACAGAAGTAGGAGCTTCAGACAGAGGGAAATCTCCACCCAGGTGGCACTGAGTAAAGTATGTGGACTTGCCCAGAGGGGTTCAGTTGAAGTGTAGTGGTCCTTTAGAAAACAGCCTTTTTTATTACAGTAGAGCTGTGCTATCACTCCATTTCACATTGAAGTAGTTTCCAGAATTTGGCAGATAAGCTGGTGAGAGAGCTGACTGCAGAGCTGTGGAGCTTCTTGCCCTGCAGGGAAAGTTGGTGGTGTTGGGAGAGGTGATGCTAGGAAGAGCCTACTACTGTTTTGCCCTTGGCTGTAGCAGTTGTGAAACAGCACACAATGACAAAGTGGCTTGCATGGGTGGGGTGTGAATTTGAATGTATAAATCAAAGCATCATGACTGAAACACAAGTGGCTTTCACCAGAGGAACAAATGCAGAGGATCCATCAAGGAGTGAGTACTGCTATGTGCAGTATCTGGGCCCTATCCTGCAACTGTTATCTGCTCCTGTTCACTAAAAGCTCCATGTAGCAGGTGTGATTTCATACATATAAAAATCAGTAAGTTGCAGACAATCTGCTATCCATGCATCCAGTCCCTCCTTGATTTCACTCATCTCAGCTGGAAGTGTATAGAGTTGAAAGGCAGAATGCCTTTCAAGCAGGAGAATGCTGATGTAGGAAGACATACTTAAGATCTTGGAATAAGGAGGACACCTTGAGGAAGAGAGAAATTTGGTTGTTGTCAAAAACCAGACTTAAGAACAGAAAAAAAAAGTTATTATTCTCCAGGAATTGGTATGTTAGACAAATTAAACTGAAGGCACTGAAAAATGGCCTATGGATGTCTTGCTGGGCATCTTTTTCACTGACAATATATTGGTTTCTTAAGCTGAAGTGAGTATACTCAGGCTGCTCAAACTGCCAAATCCATAAAGTGGAGAAAATTACTAAAATTTGGCCAGAAACCAGACTGTTTTTCCCATCAGGAAAAGTACAAGCCAAACTCTTAAGCTTCATAGCCAGAAATGAGCAGTGAAATATCTCTGCAGTTGGAAGTTTTTACTCTCCTCAGTAAGACCAAGTTTGCCAAAATCTATCCAGGTCTCCAATTTTGAGAGAGTGTTCTTAAAAACTCAGTTTTTTGTCCAAAAATGCACTTTGATAAACACAGCCAAACCAAGTGGACATTTTTTTTACTCCTACCTTAGTTTTTCTGTAGGAAAAACATACTGATGGAAGAATTTATGGTGCTCTGCTTGTTTTGAAAAAATAATTGTCCCCCTAATCATGCTTACTGGAGAACTTTCTCTCCTGTTTATTTTTTTTTTTTTCCGCCCGTGGTTGAACTTCCATCATCTGGAAAGTTGGTCCCCTTTCCAGTCCTGACCTGTTTTCTCAGAATCACTTTCTACTTTGGTTTGCAGGAGCTTTACCTTGTTAATGCAGTCAAGGTGTTAACAGCTTCTTTCCATATAAATGAGTAACAGGTAAAGCTGAAGCTGTGTCCTCCTTCGTGTGTAATAAAACTACTTCTGCAGAAGTCTTGCAAAAGCAGATCTCATTAGGGTGACTAAGAGTAGTCAGAAAACACAAGATATTGTGAGCCTGATCCCAGGTTCACAGTTCTGGCAGTTCTTGTGGAGTGAACATTGAGAAAGGAAATGCAGTATCCAAACAACTTTTATCCAGTAACTGTTTAGTGGTTTAGTGCAGACCTGCTGACCTCTGGAAGCTTTGTTTCCATCATATGCTGGAAATTTTCCAGTGGGAATGTTGTTGTTTCTTCATTCTCTGTTTCATTTCCCGTTGCTCTGTTACTCTAATTGCCTCTTCTGCCTGCTGACTCATCTTCCAAGCTGCTTTAGCTTGCTCAAGCAAGATTTGTGAACTTCTAAGTGCTCACTTGCTGCTTGCACTTTCATTTGCACCTCCTACTTTTTCCTACAGTACTTACCTGCCAAAGACCACAGCAGCTTCAATTCTCCTGTTTTACTACATTTAGTCTACATGTTTTTTCAGGGAAAAATGCTTCTGACTACATGAAAAATAGGCATGACAGTTAAAACCCTTCCTATTGTGCCATAAGAAAAGAATTAAATGTTACTTTTGA